GACTTTACTCCAGAGGACTAATGCAAGTGGGATGCCAAACTCTCAGGACAAGGTGGGCAGAATTTTACCTTTGAGGGAAAAAAAAAAAAAATTCTTGTTGGGCCACAACCACATAGACGTCCCAAGTAAGTAAGGTACTATTTGTTGTAAAGTAAAAAGCCTACCTTCAATGGTGCAAATTATACCTTGAATTTGGGTTGAGTTCACTCCATGCACTGTTGCTGCTAATTCCCACTATTGCCTATGAGAGTGGACATAGATGGAGAGAGAGTAGGAGAGCTGTGGACTGGAAACTTAAAATCAGAAAAATTAGGGTTTGACACTTGAGTAGGACTTAATTACCATAAAAGACTTGACTCCCTAAAGAACACTTGACTTCATGACTTGACATTTTGAAGCAGAAAATATTCGACTCTTGTGTTTTAAGCTGGTACAATCCTAAAAAAAACTGAAAAATGACTGAGACTGCAGGCAGATCTTACATATCCATATTATTCTTTCATATTTAATTATTAGGCCTCAAAAGGACTTAGTCTAAGCTACACAGAAATAAGACTAAGGCTAGGAACACACTCGTGACATGGTGTGTGTGTGTATATGTGTCGGCTGCGAAACGTCTGTTTCTATTTCGGCAACCATGTTAACGGGTTAGAGTGGACACACTGTCCATGTGACATGCGTCTCACGCCTCTCAGTGAGAAAAGACCCATTGATGTCATATTTAGATCAGCAACATTATATAACATTATATAAAAATAACACCTTCCACCATAGCTATCAATGTCTAGGCTGAATCTGAATGTCACAGACATGAAAAAATACAAATATTTTTTAACCATTTTAATGGCTGCATGTGGAGATAGTGGCACTTTACTGATGTTTTCTGTCAAAAATAATTCAGAAATTAATCTATAATGAAAAGAAAGCCAACATTCGAGTAGCCTGCAAACTCTATGTAGAAAGACAGAACTGCAGTAGCAGCGACACAGCTGACACGCAGCCCATGTGAGCACACACACATGCGTGTGAGCCGCAGCAACTCAGCGACACAGCTGCTCCGCACACGCGACGCAGGCAGAGTGTTCCCAGCGTAAGTCTACAGCCACGCTAACAGCTCTGCTAACAGCGTCCGCTACTACATGTGCAGTAGATCATCATCGACATCCAAGAAGAAGAAGAAGAAGAGCAGCTGCTTTGTCTGATGCGCTCTGCTACTGTAGAGGTGAGTGTAGTGGCGGACTTCCTATGATGTTGAGCAGGTGCAATGTTCATCATCTTACTTGTAGTTCAGTTTAGTTTCAAGTATCTGAAAATTTATAATAATAATTTATAATTGCGTTAGATGAAAACTGAATTACAATTCATCCTGAGAGGAACATTATTGATTGTACAAAATTTCATGGTACAACATACAATAGTTTTTGAGAAATTTCACTCAAAACCACAAATGTCGACCTCATGGTTGCGCTAGACAAAAAGTCAGGGAATCACCAAAGTCAGTAGGACACATTGTCTGAGCACCATGGATATCTAATAATGAGCCCATCCATTCGACCAACTAAATGTATAATTATGTGCCTGTTACAGTTCCTCCGTGAAAAATGAACTATTCTGGTTCCTGTTTTTCAGTGCTCAGAACTTAATTACTTTATTAACTTAATTAGGGAAGATGGACCGAAACATAGAAAACTCCATGCGTATCTAGTGCAGCAACAAGCTCCAGTAACTCCCTCTGCGCCGCTCCACCTTCCTCTGTTTTCCCTCTTACTCTTTAGCTGGAGCAGTGGGAGCTGTCACTTCTCTTCCTGTTGTTACTCGGACTCTCAGCAGAGCCCCAATTACCAAAAGCCACTGCTCGCTCCCCGACAGGCCTAGTCACACCTGGTTAGCTCGCCATTAACCACACACTCATGACCACAGAACAGAAATTAGCCAAGCTGAACGGATGCTGCGAATGTGCCGCCTGCTCCCCAGTGACTCACATGAAAGTCTACAGTAGGACAAATCTACCAAACTAAGTGCAGATTTCTGTCAGTTTTCCTCTTCTAATTATGTAAAGGCAAAACTTCTTCACAGGTAAGAATGAGTTACAGGTTTCTCAATTTGGTTTAGGCTTGACAGCTTCACTAATGGACACATCCACTGAGAACCAACATGACATTCTTGGTATTTGCCTCTTGATTGCAAAAAAACACAACTGCATTGTTATAACGGCTGAATGTGTGTGTGTGTGTGTGTGTGTGTGCGCACACACTTATTCACAAGTTCTCATGTGGCTCAGTGCACATTGATTTCAGTAACAGTAACTTCTGTCACATGCCCTGGAAACTTCCTAATTTTTTACCTCTGCCCCAAAAAAAAAAAACAATCTGCACTCTCACTTCTACTGAACTCTTAAACTTAGAGAAATAAAAAGGATAATTCCTGATAGTGATCGCTTTAATGGCAATGAAAAGACCTTTGTCTACAAGAGCTCCAAGTACGTGACCTGATGCCCCTGAGGATTAAAAAGGGACACATCAAAGTGATAAAGGGCTTCAATAGCATCTATTCTGTATCGAGATTTGGGCTGCCAGCTGACTATGACAGCTACAGGCCATAAAACTCTCACTCCGCAGTTGGAAACGCTGCTGCGACACACACACACACACACACACCCATACAAAGAGAGAGAGAGAAATAACAAGTCACCTTGGTGCAGTGCTTTCTTACACCACAAGGTGGTGCAAAACCTAACCACAGTTGCACAACTGCAACTCTCCTGTGGGGTTAGCACAGTGTATAATGATCTGACTCTAATGATCAGTGTTCACACTTACCAGAGCAAACCCACATCGTACTCTCTCAATTAAGATAACACAACACTGCAACTGTAAGGATCCTGGATAAGAGACAAGAGACTGAATGAACACAAGAAACAAGCAACATCCGCTGCGCTGACGAGGAAGAGGTCAAAGTCATCAACCAGGAGTCAGTGGATGACCAGACAGACATCAAAAGGGGCCATTGACATCAGACACCAAAGACCATCTTTAAACAGAGTCAGGGGTTATGATCTCTCTTTATATATGACCACCTATCAACACATGATGGAAATTCCATACGTTCTGGGAATCCACATCAAACACAAGATGTCAGCAGTGCGTAAACACCACGGAAGCATCCGTTCGCTCAGTCCACCTCGACCTGCGTTTGGCCGTCACGAGATGAAGGCTGTCAGATCAGAAAGTAACTGAACAGCAATAGTTTTCAGGTGGGCTCCATAATAACGTATACAGGGGTAAAATGCATTCTTCTTATTTATTGATTAATAGATTATTTTTTTAACGAGACAGAGTAAAACTGAGGACCTTGGATCTGTTTTGTGAGATAGTCAAGTGACAGACATCAGTAACACTTTCTGTGTGGACTGCCCTTCAGCAGATACTGTATATATGTGACATTGTTACAACAAATAGTTTATGTTTTAAACTTTTACCTTACTTCCCTATGATCCCTGATCTATGACCGGGGGGGGGGGGGGGGGGGGGGGTAAGGGTGTTGGAAACAGGAAATAACATCAACACTTCTCCATCGGTGCTAAACACATCAATTAAGTTCAATTTTATTTGTGCAGCGCCAAATCACAACGTGCATAATCTCAAGGAACTTTCCAGGGTAAGGTCAAGACCTCACAATATTACAGAAAGAAACCCAACAGCTCCCACAATGAGCAAGCACTTGGCGACTCTCCAGCAGAACCAGACTGAATGTGAAGTGTTTCAGCTTTCTGAAAGTGTTTAGTCTGCTATCAAAAAACATTTCGTATCCATTAAAGGCAAATGTTTATAAAACTGAACCTTAAGAGGGAACACTCACACTATCTGACAGCGGTACGTGCCAACATTTAATATTATGAAGGCAAAGCAGTTCAGGCATCTGAACTCTGTTTGATTTCCAGTGAAATGCTGTAAATATGCAAATACAACTGTGTGACAGTAACTTTTTTGACTTTTTGAATGTCAGCACAAATCCTGGTTTTTGGAATATATTATAAATTCCTGAAGGTTTTTAAGCTTTTTTAGGCCGAAAAAAGGTCTTATAAAAATAAATCCCCTGAAATGATACGACATAGAGGTTCTTTAAAGGTAAAGGGTTAAAAAAATATTTAGTTTACATTCCTGAATCTTGGTTGTTTGCTTTATGGCCAGCAACTGGTTTATTCCAATTTTCAGTGTACAGTACTTTCATGACATTATTACTCTCTGTATGGTTACTGATACTGTATGTTGAGACAGGTGAAAAAAAAAAATACTCTGGGAAAATACCATGCAGCCAGTTGTCATGGCAACGCCTGCAATTCTCCCTCCTCTTCTGCCCCTGTCTGTGGGTGGACTGTACCATTCAGGATTAACCTGGATTAAATCGTGGTTTATTTTACAGTTAAATTGCAGTTTAAAATTTGAGCTTTAAATTCAACAGGTCTGATTCGAATTAAAAATAACATCGTTTTGCTTGTCTGTAAACTTCACTGAACAAAATCACAAGCAGCAGAGAGATTGCATTTAATAGTTATAATGAGCATTTCACTCACTTTCATGTGCATTATTACGGCAAGTTTCAGTTTCAGAGTTCTGGCTTTTCTGAATCAGATTCTGTAGTACCTTAAAAACTCAAGATCATCATGTGACTCAATGGAGTTGAGTACATTATTTTTTTTCCCCAAAACACTCACTATGTAACGGTTACATACCATAGTGCTACTGTGCACAAAAGCTTCTTGTTGTGCGTTTAGATTAAATCAAATTTCTTTGATTTCTTGTGATCAGTAAATGCAGCCTTAAACAAACTTCTGCATAAAAAAGGAGGGATGAGGAAAACATGCGATGGTGTGTATCTTTGTGTGTGGGTGTATTGTATTTTTGAGAGCCAACACATGATTGATTGTACGATTGTAAAAGAGAAGTGGTTTTTTTATATATATCACCTATAATCCCCTCATCATCCCATTCTGACGTTACCTGACGTTGTCGTGCTTCTGGATATAGATCTTGTGAAACATCATGTCCTCCTGCTTGGCGTTTATATCAGCTTTCATCTCCATGGCAACATGGCGGGGAAGCACTGAGAGCAGGAGGCGTTCCTGCAGGAAAGCGTGGGAGAGGGGGGGTAAGTTCAGTGGAAGAGTATAAGTAAATTAAGAGGTGGAGGCTTTGACTGTCAGAGGGGAGGCAGAGTGACTAACATGCCTCAATAAGTTCACCTCAATAACTGCCTGCGTGCCTCTATAGTATATCCCTCCCGGCACAGAGTGACCAGCCACAAATTGTCAGCTAGAGCCTTTTTTTTGTCCAGTTTGAGAAGCATTGAGAACAAAATAACAACGTTACTCAGCTGCGTCTCCGCTGTGGCAATTAGATCAGATCTGGATTTTAATAACCTGGCGGATTCTTTTGCCCTCAGTCGGTGAGGGAGGAACACGTGGCTTATTGTGACAGCTCACTGTTATTGCTTGTTATGGCTTGAGAGGGGCAACAGTTTGTAAGAATCTGCAATCAATGCGTGGCTGATGGGTAAGTGTGCGTTTAGCTGCCACGTACTTGTAATTCAGGTTTGACAGAGGAAGCGAAGTGATGGAAAATGCATCGCTTTGTAAATTATTTGGAAAAATAGCAGATGCAAGGTATGCCAGGGAATAACATGTACGCATACAGTCAATTTTACTCATAAACTCTTGTAGCGACACTTATAAATACAATACGTGCGAATCTCATACAAACGTGTGCCTGTAACGTGCATGTAAACAACGCAGGAACGTCTGATGCAGAGTATTTTCACATTTTATATCCTGGCACATTCTTGCAGCTGCAGGGATTAAACAGGCAGCGTTAAGACAAAGGAATTACTTCACCATCAACAAACACAGACTTAGTGCTGTAGTGCAGGTTAGTATTATTACTGCTACTAGCAGCCATGTCACACTGGACTTCCATGTCTTGGCTTAGCTAAAGCTATAAGCAGCATTTTCAAACACTGAATTGATCAGTAAATAAGCAAACACAATCAATTTGTGAAGGGGAAACCTGTCTAATACTTTTTCCTTTCAAATGGCAATAAAAATATGTCACCCAGCCCATTCTACAGTATATTTCAAGTATAGACTCTGGTACTGTGTTAAACAAACATTTTACAGCTGCCGTGCTCCACAAAGGAGCAAGCTACTGTTCACACTTTTCAGAGCCATCGTTTAAGCCTGCAAGAGTTGAGTGTTTAATATTCAAGACCTAGGTTTTCAGTGAAGTATTCCTTTAATAGACAAGTCTATTTAATTTAATCTCCAATAATACCTTCCCTCTGCTCTTACATCCCTGTCTCCCATCACCATAAATCTCTGCTTTCTCTCTCTCTCTCTCTCTCTCACCTGCTGCTGGACCTCCCTCTGAGAGTGGAGGCGAGCTTGGATGCATTCCCTGGTCTCCTGGAAGGCCTGCCTCTGGGAGCCCTCGGCGGGGTAATGGGTGCACACTCCCACGATGTTGGTGCAGGAGAAGATTAGCACGTTGGATACTATCTGTGGAAGAGGGTGAGAGAGAAACAGTCAGGAAGCAAAGAAGGGGGCATCCATGTGAGTCAGAGGTCAAAGACTCATGCTCTCGAAATGTCTCGTGCCCTTTCCCTTCCTGTTGCTCTCTACCAACATCAACTAACAACTGGTTTTTCACCCTAAACAGTAAATCCCTTTTAAATCCCCCATTGCTGAGAGATTTGTTGAGCCAACATCCATTTTTTAAGGAATTAAATAAGTAAACGTTCATTGTAATCCCCTCTGATAGTAAAACAATACAACAGGGAGTCTACCCACTTCGTCAAACCTTTAAACTGGAGCCAGATGTGATACAAACATAACACTTTTCCAACCACGACTGGCAGTCTGTGAGAGCGGCTCCACGTGTTACTCACTCCGAGCGAGCTGTGCGATACAGAAATGTGCGGAGATAAGATGAAAGGCAGCATCACAGAGAGTATCTGGGCAGCTTCTCAACGGTCTCAACATTTATAGAGTAAATGTGTTGCATGTTGTTCTCAAGCACAAATACACAGATTTACATATTGTCACATCTACCACGCAGTTAGTGTGAGAATAGAATACATTGTATACGCATCTAAATTTGACCTGCTAATGTGTGATCACTTAGTAGCTTATAAATGATTTGTGACTTACCGTATAGCACTGAGTTAAGTCTGCGCTGCTACAGAAGACATTCTGGGTTTCTAACACAGAACACACAGGTGTTTATGAATCTGGTGCAAGACTGAGAACACTGATGTAGTGTTGACCTACACCTGGCCTCTCAGGTAGGTTTTGCGTTTTTACATTTCAGCAGTAACAGACGTTTTGTTTGGAGAGACTGAAGTACAAAGAGGAGTGCTACCTGCACAAACTCAAACTGCACCTGTATTGTATAATGAAGCTACAACAGAATATTGAAGCCAAAAAAAAAAAAACCATTACAAAACATTACATCTGTAGCCTCCAAGTGATCTCTGGGTAATGCGGTGCTGAAACGCAAGAGCGAGCAAATAGACATCTCAGGGACTTGAAATCATTTTAGAATCAGGCACTTTAGTACGCTCAGCCTATAACTGCAATAAACAAATAAAAAGCTTGCTGCCATTACAGCCACATTATCTCTGTCTCATCTATATATTTATAACAATAACAGAAAGTAATTTAATTTGTGTAAATTAATTTTGAACTCTACCACTAAAGCAGAACTGAAACAAGCAGTTGATTAACTGATTTGTCGATCAACATACATGAATATGGTTGAACTAAACACAACATCTGAAGGTGTCAGCTTGAGCTCAGGGATGTTTTCTGACATTTTATAGACAAACAATTAATTGAGAAAATAATCTGCTAATTAATTGAATAAATAATTGTTGGTTGAACCTATATCCAGGTATATCTCAGCACTACCATTGGAAACATCTTCAAGTTCCCTATAGTTACAAAGTAAAAAACATTTAGCTCAGGACACACTTAGTACAGGACGATTGTGGCAAACTGTTTGTCGTTAAAGTCTGAATGAACCTAAAATGAAAAGTAAAGTCTGTTTAGACCTTAAATATGCAGAATGAAAATATTGATTTGCTTGATGAAGGTGGTGAGAGAGAAACAAAGTGTTTGATGTAGGTTTTCCAGGCCTGCAGCCGTTTGCCCTCTGACTGAGAGAAAAGCGCTCTTTGTTTCCGGCAGCTCCACTCATGTGCGCCTCCCTGTCTGCGGCGGGAACAGGGTGTCTCGACCCTCTCCTCCTGATTTTGACACAACATCCATCAGAAGATCCCTGTGCAGCCCTGACAAGACAGTATCTCCCTAATTAGGGGGCTCAGTAGAGCCAGAGCCAGTTCGTATACTACCTGCTTTAATGTTTGTGTGTTCAGATAGGAGAGACAGTGTTAGTGTGCGCTTATCAGTGAAACTGCTCTGATGCAGAACAAACTGACCAGATACTTGCCCTTATCTGAGATGTTGGTGATCTCCAACATATTTGTTAAATGACAAGACTACCAGCTGATACTGTGTTAAATGTTAAAGATTTATCCAAAATAAACTCAATCAGCGGCAGAGTCACCGCCGCACCCTCCGATTTATATTCAACCTCAGCCAGCACTTTTGCACTTTGCTCCTCTGCCGCTCCTACATGAAACAAAATAGCTGGTGTGCTTGGAGACACCCCACACAGTCTGTATGCCAAAGACCTACCCCCTTTGTACCTGTCATTGCGCTTGCGCACATAAAATTGGCACTCTGGTCTTCTGCAAGTGGAATGCATGCTCAGTCAAACTGAGGTCAGGTGACTGACTCGGACAGTCAGGGATATTCCAGTTCTTCCCCTTGAAAAGTTCTTTGGTTGCTTTGGCCTTATGTTTAGGATCAGTGCCCGGCTGAATGATGAAATGTCGTCCAATGAGTTCTGACGCCGAATCCGAGCTCCCAGCATGCTCCTGTGCACCTCTGCATTCATCCCGTTGCATCCTCAGCAGTGAAATCATGAATAAATGCCAGTTCCATGAGGTGGGATGATCTGGAGGCCCAAGAAACATTTAATAGCCAATAGTGTCCGATTACTTTTGACCACTTACAATTTGGGCACTATGTATTAAATGTCTTTTTTTCACACCGTTTTTTTCAATATTGTTGTAAACCTGCTCAAATGAAAGCTGAGACTTGGCACATTTAAGATAGTATCCGTTATTTTATGTGCTGAAACACAGAGTCTGAAGATCAAACATGTAGGCATCCAAGTACTTACAGTCTGGACTGTATCTGTTCAGGGCCAATAAACAGACAGTCTACTCAATATTTATTGCAAGGCGTCCATATTGGTAAGCCTACGGTGAACACAAGCTACACTAGCATCAGAAAGGAAGGGAAAAATATGATTCTGTGAACTGAGTAAAACCAAACATTGAGCCCTGAGGAACCACACAGAACATTTTCCAGCCATTGGTTATACTCTGAGCATCTGAAATCATGTGTGAAAGAGTCTGACATAAGATCCTCAGACCCTCAGAAAAAACCATTAACTACATGCACTTGACAGGATTTACAAATCATCTTTCTGCAGTAACCTGATTTCTTAAACATTGTATAAAGGAGAAATCTGGCTTTGGTAATCGGGGTAGGAGATTTGATGAACCTGATTTGCTTTGCTAGATTTCTCCTGGAGAAAGTCAATTACGCACAGGAATTCATACTTGTATTGAAAATAATTCCATCTAAAATTAGACTGAAACTCATAAAACACCCCTAGAAAATCTAAATAAGTCAGCATCCACCTTTCCCTACAAAGTCTGTCCACTCACTTGGATGTCAGACAAACATACACACGAAGTGAGAAATGTTTCCAACATAAGGTCTGGGTTGGGGGAGAACATGATTACCGACCTGCTGCATGGACTGACTTACTAAAGTGCATGTAAACATACTATCCAATTTCCTGAGTAACCTGGTTTGTTGCGTGCATGTAAATGTACTGAGTAACAGAAGCTAGTGGACCTACAGGAGGGGGCTGAACTACTGTGGGAAACCCTGTGTTGTTGCACACTTGCATGTGTGTGCCCCACTAAAACTCCAATATTTAATTTGCAGCAAATCAGTACCTTCAGGTTTCATAGACGCTGTCCAAGTTTCCACCTATCAAACACAACATTGGGCACATGACCGCTTGCGAGTGGTCACATGTACTAGTGCTAAAAGACATTGTTTCCATTCAGTGCCAGGCATACAGTGGGTCCTGGGACTGGAAGCCAGTAGGAAGCCAAAGCCGGCAGCCCATTCTTTTCATAGAGCTATTTAATGGGCTGAATCAGCCAGCTGAATCACATTCACACCACGGGCCTCTCTGTTGCCGGAACAAACTGAACAAACACAGCACGTCTTTATCAAGTCAAAAACCCCTCAGCAGGTCTGTGTGCGAAAACCAAGCACACTCAAACGGAGGAGTGACTGGCGGAAGACTCGCCTGGAAGTGAGGCATGACCAAGGAAAATAAAGAACTGAGGTGTGAGACAGGGAGAAGGTTGTGAATTTAGAAAAGGTCACTCTTCCGTATTTCTGCCTCTTATCCAACTGAAACTCTGCTTAGCTGAAAGCTCATTCAATTAACTACAAAAACTATCAAGGGTGTACAATTAATTAACAATATATTTAAAAAATCTATTTTATGTTAATACAAAAAAAAAAAGAAAAAAAATGATTTCCTCCGTGCAGAAGAATTTCATTATTATAACTCAAGCATGCAGCTCAGTTAGCACGTTCAGCAGCTCAAAAGAAAATTGTCATATTCAGTGTTGCCAGTCTTGGTTGAAAAGCCAAAAATACTGTATGAAGATTGGAAGAAAGGGAGGTCAGAGTCACATCAGTCACTAAATGTGCTTGTGTAAGAGTGTTCATGATTATACTGTTCAATATTAATGCACACATTTTTAATCTCAGTGCCAAAGATGTTTTTGAGCTGCAAAACTTTAGAACTCCTAAAAAAGGTTGATGAAAAGCCTCGACTTTGCACAATTCATATTTGGCAAGGCAAGGCACATTTATTTATATACACAGAGGTCATTCAATGTGCTGAAGAGAAACAAAAGCATCAAAAATACAAGTAAAAAGCATAAAAAGAAAAGTATTAAAAAAAAAAACAGGTTATAAAACAGATGATATTGCGGTGACAGATGAAACTCTACTGCAAACTGACAGAGAAATCATTATGTTTTCTTGTCCATGACGGGCTTATTAGCATAACAAATGTGTTTGAGGTTTATAATCAGCAGAGAGGGATGTACTTTTTTGCTCCGGGGAGAATCGTTGCCTTGTACAAAAACCGCAGGGGGCAGGAGGCTGACTGCTTTAGTGTAAAGCTCTGCGTCTTATTGTTGAGGCTCTGAAAATGGTCAGGGAAAACACACACACACACACACACACACACACACACACACACACACACACACACACACACACACACACCTGCTTTAAAACAGCTTCAAACTGTCTAAATCTGGACATTT